GGCATCGAATTTACCAAGCTGATCCTTTCCATTGTTGAGAACATAGCATTTGCACCCAAATGTTCTTAGGTGAGTTAGCTTGGGTTTCCTTCCATTTAACAGTTCATATGGGGTTTTGTTCAGAAGTGATCTGATCATGCACCTGTTCACCAAGTAGCAGGCAGTGTTGACAGCTTTAGCCAAGAAGTTCTTTGCAATTCCACTGTCAATCAACATTGTTCTTGCCATTTTTTCCAGAGTTCTATTCTTCCTTTCTACTACTCCATTTTGCTGGGGAGTTCTGGGAGCTGAGAAGTTATGAGTGATCCATTTTCATTGCAAAATTCATCAAATTTTACATTGTCGAATTCTGTCCCATGATCTGATCTAATGCATGCAACTCTAGACTCCATCTTCACCTAGATTTTCTTCACAAAGGCCACAAACACCTCAACAGTTTCATCTTTGGTTCTGAGAAACAGAGTCCCTGTGAATATGGAGTAGTCATCTACTATCACAAAAATGTATCTTTTTCCTCCTCTATTTTGCACTCTCATAGCTCCACGCAGATCTATATGCAGAAGCTCTAGGGGCTTTGAGGTGCTCACATCTCGTTTAGACTTAAAAGAGGAATTCACATGTTTTCCTCTAATACAGGCATCACAGACTTTTTGCATCTTGAATTGTGACATAGGTAGACTATGGATCAGGTCCTTCTGAATTAGTTTGTTTAGAAGAGAAAAACTTGCATGGCCCAGTCTTCTGTTCCATAGTTCAGCATCATCTTCAACAGCTTTCAGACACCTCAGATCACCACTCTGTAAGGACTCGAAATCAGCAACATAGATGTTTTAATATCTTTTGTCCACAAGTATTATTTCATCGGTCACAAGATCAGTGACTGTACATATTTTGGACAAGAATTTCACTTTGTTTCCTTTGTCACAGATTTTAGAGACACACAAGAGACTGTACTTAAGTCCATTGACATAATACACATTTTCAATAGAATGAGTGAGTGACTTCCCAACTTTTCCAACTACAAGAATGTACCCCTTTTTTCCATTGCCAAAGGATACATTCCCTCCTTGCAAGGCTTTCAGTGAAAGAAAGTCCGTAGTATTCCCAATCATGTATTTTGAACACCCACTATCCATGAACCATTGTTGACCACTTCCTTTCAATGTTCCCTGCACAAGAGATTAAGAGTTAGTTTTAGGAACCCAAGCAAGTTTAGGTCCCTTGTAGTAGGCAAGAGGATGAATCAGAGTTCTCTTAGTCCATGCAGGTAATGTACGTTTTTTATGAGTGGTACCTGGTCCCTCTTTTGTAGTCACCTTTTCAGCAAACACTTTGTTTTTTTGAATCGATTGATTCTTGGCCTGGACATCTTCCATGAAGTGCCTAGTGTTCCCACATTGGGTACAAGGCCAATTATCAGAGACAGTGACGTACTTACCGTGAGGGTTGTGAGGAGTTTCTACCTTTGGGACCCTATTCTTTGCCTGTTTTCACAATCATTAGTATGCAAGGCAGTGGTAACTTCTGAGGACCAGGTCCACTTTAGGGACTTTTCAAGATCATTATTTACTCTTTTCAGATCAGTTTGGAGTTGCTCGTATTTCTCAATTTCCACACACATCCTAGATTTTATAGCTTTCACCTCATTTTCAAGCCTAATGTGTTCCTCACTAGCTATCTCCTTTCCCTTTCCAAAATTTTCAGGTTTTGACTTAGTCCATGGTTTCACAGTTGTTTCCCTTAGGTCTATAATTTTTGCCAATAGATCATCCTTTTCTTTTCTAAGGATTTCAATGGTTTTCTTATGGTCAGTAACTACAACCACTAATCGTCTTTAGTTTGTTCAAATTCTCCTAATTCTAAGGTCAAGGAATCCCTATCCTCCACAAGACTATGAAAAGCAACGATTAATACATTAACTAAAAACATGAGTTTTTTGGGAGAATAGGATTTCAGATTTCTCTGAACATCCCTGAAAGTTACCTTTTTGTTGTCGTTGTCTTCATCATCATCTAATTGAGCCATCAAAGCAAAAGTTAAGTCATAACCAATCTCCTCGCCTTCAACTGCCATCATGGAACTATCACCAATATCAAGTTCATCTTCAAACTCACTAGAGGAATCCCTCCATGCTGCAAGAGCATGTCTCATCATATTGTCAGCAGATCTTTTTCTCTTGAAGTCCTTAAAAGGAACCGGGTTCATATTAGCTATTTTCTTATGGTAGTTCTAGGAGAATTCTTGCTTCAAGAGAGGACAGTCTTTCATGAAATGTCCAGGCTTTCCACACTTGTAGCAAAGATCACGGTTTTTGGTCTGTTGGAGCTGTCCCTTTTTAGCATTTCTCCATTTCTTCTGACCATCTTTTGAAATCTTTTGTTTAAGTAAGCCATGTCACTGTCTTCCTCACTTGAATCATTGTTATCAGCTTTAAGTACCAGGTTCGTTTCCTTCTTTGGTTCTCTTCTAGCACTGTCTATCTTTCTCTTCAACTCATAGGTCTTCAAGTTTCCGATCAGCTCTTCTATGGCCAGCTCCTGTTAGTCCTTTAACTCAGTGATATCATTAACTTTGCTTTCCCAAGAACTAGGAAGAAAACTGAGGATTTTTCTTACTAGCCTGCTTCTGGGAATAGTTTCACCAAGTGTGTGTAACTCATTTATGATGGATTTGAATCTTGTGTGCATATCTTGAATGGATTCATCAACCCTCATTTTGAAGAGTTCATACTCGGTAGTGAGCATATCAATCTTAGACTATTTTACTTGTGTAGTTCCCTCATGCGCTGTTTGCAAAGCTTCCCATATCTCCTTCGCAGTGTCGCATGTGGAGATTCTATTGTACTCTTTAGGTCCTACTCCACATACCAGAATTTTCTTGGCACGAAAATTCTCCTCCACAACTTTTTTGTCTGCTTCAGTGTACTCTTTGCTGATTTTTGCCATTGAAAATGGAAGTTCCTCTAGTACCTTGGCTGGAACATAAGGACTATCGCATATGATATCCCATAACTCACAATCCTCAGCCATGATAAAATCGTGCATTCTTGTTTTCTACCACCCATAGTATTGTCCATTGAACTTGGGTGGTCGGTATGTAGATTGACCTTCTTCAAAATTTGGTAGAGCAGCCATGAGGATCCTTCCTAGGTGTTAGCTTGATAGGAGAAAACCGCTCTGATACCAATTGTTAGTTTGTGTGAGTCCACCAAATAGTAGAGTACCTGGTCCTCTACGAGATTCTACTAAGAATGCAAATAAAGCAGTATGTAAATAAGGCAGAGGATTTTTACATGGAAAAATCCCATACAAGGGGATAAAAAAACCGCGACCAATACCTGTAGGCTTTAAGCTTCACTAACTTGTAAAACCTATTACAAGCCAATTTGCAATGACTCCACTACAAAGAATTTACTCAACTAACTTGTGATGCTCTCACTACAAGCCACTTTGTAACTCTACGATTACAAAGACTTTTGCTTATGACAATACCTAGTCACAACATAAACTCAAGGAGTTTACGGATTTACAAGAGGATTCCTAATCAAGCGCTTCTAGCTAAGCAGTTTAGGAGATATAGTAAGTACAATCACAAAGTTACAACTCCACTAGGACAACAACAAGCTATCTTTTAGGAACCGATCCGTAGTTGCGTTCAACTTTGTTCTTCAAGCTTGTGAGGATTGACTTCTCTGTTTTTTGCAAGAAGCTTGAATGAGAAACTGAAACCTTCAAGTGATGTTTTGTATGAACTCATTGTAGGTACATCTTGATCACATCACTTGAAATGATGTGAGAACTTTAGTTGTTCAGAGAATGAGTGGGCGCTGGAGACAGTGCAGTGCGGCAGAAACAGTGCAGTCAGTCACTTCATTTCCAGTTGTGACCAATTGACTTGTACTGTGATGAGGAAACCACAAGGGTATCAGGTCCTTGTTTGGATTCCTAGCTCCTAAAGTTGTAGCAGTTCTCCTTTAGCTGGAATTCGTTAAGCTTGCAGTATAGTCCGAGTAGGTCAGGTTCCCTATCTGGTTTTTAGCAGTAAGTTTGTTAGATCATCAAAACATAAGGCAAGAACATTTAAAACTTATGAGTGTGTTTCACATATTTTTGTGAAACTGATGCTTATGAAAAAAGGGGAATTTATTTACTTTAAACAACATCAGGGGGGTCATGGGACCCCCGCAAAGTTAAAGGGTGCATATGGTAAAACAGGACAACTCTAAGGGGGTAATTATGTATTATCCCATTAATATTTAATGGAACATTTTCTAGTTTATTCTACATGTGATCCAATGGAACAGTGTCCAATGAACTCAACAAATGCACATAAGTTTGTTCAAGGAATTAGCTCACTCATGCAGTGGTATACAAGGTTATGATGAAGAGAAGCTACAAATTTTCCCAAAAAAAAATTCAATAAAACAGTGTACAAAACTTGCCTGTTTGGTCATAGATTTTGCCAAAATATATTTGGTTTTTTTTTGGCAAATCCATGTTTGTTCATAAATTTTATCTACATTTTGGCAAATTCCCAAATCCCAAAATCAGCTTAAGAGATGATTTTGGACCAAAATATCACTATTACATTTTTTTAAAAATGGCCCCAAACTTTTGTATTTTATAAAAGAGCCCACCATTTTATTATTTTGTAACAATGCTAATTCGTCTTTTCGGTCATCTGATAGTCTATTATTTAGTTCATTATAAAAATGATAATTTTGTACCAAATTTATTTATGTTAAGGACTATGGTTTGCGATAATATAATTAATGTTATTGATAAAGGTACTGTTGGGTATTTGTGATAGTTTTTTGAACTTGTGGGTATAAGTAATGTTTCATGTTTTTTCAAAAAAAAAAGTGAAATATGTTTTGAAAACTTATGTCCAAACACATTTTCATCTTCAAAACAAACTTCACCCAAATCAGATTTTCAAAACAAATTTGGGAATCTATGGCCAAACGCTAACTAACAAGCTTGAGAATGGACTATTTGCAGCAAATTATACGTTCAGTTTTGATATGGTTTCAATATGCTATGAGGAGAATAAGAAGTTGTCCAATTTGGCTATTTCATTCTGCAGTTTGTAGTGGTCACAAGGCATCAAGTGTGAAGCTTTTTCTATGTTAAGCTTTGGCTATAGTTTTAGACTAGTTTTTTTTTACGTATTCTATGTTATTCATTCTAGATCAATGTGTAATATCAAAATAAAGTATCAAAATGCTCTATTTCATAATAGGTCTTATGCAAGTTTTGGACTTTCAGCTATTATACTGTCTTCATGTAAGACTATATTTTCAAAAATATAAAAAAATTAACCCTAGGAATTATGCCTAGCAAATATGCGGTTAAAAAAATAATGGGCCGAAAAATATTATCTACATATTGTCGGTAAGCTCTCAATGAGCTCTATAAAAGCCCTAAGATTTCCCGCAAAAACTAGGCATTTACATACATGATATATTGCAAAAATGATTCAAAACTACATACTAAACCCTAGTTTGCATGTATTGCATATAAATCACGTAAACAACAGGAACACAAATCTATGGCTCTGATACTAATGATATATTTAACCGTAAAATACCAGTTTCAAAGATTATGGTTTCTCCTTTGCAAAAGCGGATCTGCAATAAGCACAACTTGTGTCACCGGTCGTTGAGAATCCTCACAAAGAGGATTAACTCCCTCTATCCACACCTTACTAATCCTCACAGATAGATCTTGTTTTATATAAAAATCCTAGTCATTTCTATTATAACGAAAAAGTCACATCTTAAACACTCATAATGGTGTTTATATAGGCTATCTCTAGGATTTTATGTGGAGAAATAAATAATGGGCTCATGGGCTATCTAACACCCCTTATGGGTGGATCCGACCCAATAATATTCTTCCAATAGAAAAAAACCATGATCAAATTATCCAAGCATCACAGAATTAAACAAACAATAAAATAAATAATGAGTCTTAAGTTTACAATAGTTTTACCACAAGGCAGCACTTGTAGACCCTAACAAAGGAGGAAACCTAGGAAGAAAATAAGAAATAATTTATTTACGTGCGAATGTTAGATACCGATGGGGCAGTCAAAGCATCAACTAATAATGTTGGGCTTGGGGGGGTGTTCAGAGATACAAATGGGGATTGGGTGATGGGCTATGCGGGAAACTATCCCAAAACAAACGTCACTAACATAGAACTCATGGCACTGTTTCGAGGATTACAACTAGCAGCAGCTCACAACCTGACACCACTACAAATTCACATGGACGCCAAAGAGGTAATTACCATGTTTACTAGTACATCCACAATACATACACTACAATACACTCACATTTGCTTAATGATTGCAGATCCCTGATCCAGACTCCAGACACTGAGTGATACGACCATAGTCTACGCTTACAGAGAGCGGAACACAGTAGTTGATAGACTAGCATATTTTGGAATGGAAATGATGGGCAGCAATATCACCTTTTTGCCAACTCCACCAAACTTTCTATGGGAAGATCTGCTTGAAGATAAATGGGGATGCTGCAGACTTGGGCACATTTCTACAACCAATCCTACAACAGGATCACCAGTAGCTTTTTGTAACTCTTTTGTTGTAGCTTCTGATAGTAATAACAACAAAAAAACATCCTTTTTGTAATAGAGAAGTAGCTCAACATGGTGCTCATCATCTACCTGCCAACAGCAATAGTAGTGTTGTTCCAACTTTTTGTATAACTGCATCTAAGCAGATGCTCCCTGCATTCCATCTTTAATTCATCTTTAATTAATAGAATGTAGTCTTTTAAACCAAAAAAAAAAAAGAGTAACAGAAATGAAAGGGCAAAGAAATGGCGTCTCATTTTCTTTGATTCTGAAACGACTTTCCAGAAGTCTAGGTTAGGGTTTTGAAGATTGGTAGACAGGGAGAGATACAAGGAATAACTTAAGATTTGGAAGAAAATGGAAATGACTTTCAAGAGCAAATGGAACAAGTCTGCAGAGAGAACAAAGGAGAGTGTAGGTCAATGCTTTGCTTACTATCTTATACGAAACTGTAATTAAAATTAACCCAGAACAACCCAATGGTTCCTCAGGTCAGTTCTTGGCTACTGACTTATTTATTAAAAAAAGAATGTCCAATAGACAAGAAGATAGTGGACATACCTTGTATTTGCTAACCTTAGCCCTGCACCAATTAATAAAATTATATTGCTACCTTAAGATTTTCCTAACATTACCCTTCCCCAATTGTCCGGTCCTGGTTGGTCTAAGTAGAAGCGACCCTTCACCGTATACATAAGAGTAATGGATTTTACGCATTCTAACCATAATAACAAGAAACAAATCTTTCTACTGCATCAATGCATAAAATCAGGAGAAAACATAAAATAAAGCTTGCAACATAAACATTTGCATTAGTACCATAAAGCACGATTTGCTTGTTCAGATAGTTGAGAAACCTAATAGCCGATGCACCCCTCTAAAGACAAATGAATGTGAAGTCAATGACTACTTAAAGAGTACTATACATTGGACAACTTAAGGGAAAATAGTACACAGCTTGAAGAAGGGAAGTGCCATTGAAAGGCATAATATGTACCTCTCAATATGATCAGCATCTGACACCTACCAGAAAGGTTGCAACGAATGCAGAATGCAGAGGAAACTGTAGACAACAAAATATTATGATAGCAACGGGATTTTTTTGAATTTAAGGGAGAACGGTGTAATCCTTCTCAAGAATATCACACGGATTTTTCCTTACTCCAGGTATATTAAGGTTATCCCTTCTTTATTTTGGCATGATCCATGCGATGCAAACGAAACGTGCAAATGCACAACTTTCATAAATGACTCTATTCATAGAAATGCTAGAGATGCTTATGTTCTTGATTCTCCATGTGTCATATTATTCTATCATCTGTTCATGGGTTTCAGAAAAATACGTAAGGTAAAAAAATTTACTTTATGATATTATTCAGAGGCATAATGGTCTTATGACACTACAAGAGATTTTATTGATGTACTTCTCATGCATTTATGTACATTGACCCATGACTAGATCGCGTTATATACGTGTATATATATATATATATGTGCATATATATGTATATGGGTTATGGGAAACGGTTACGGCGTTATATACGCACCACCACCTGATCAGCTGGTATACGTTGATGATTTTGCCCACAGTGGCCGGGATGATATGATGGGATGCCCTCAAAGGCTTGATGATGTTATTAACACATGTACATATGCACGACATGACATTTATATACATATGCATGGCATTATACATATTAATGATTCACAGAGTTATTCAGACTTCCATGTCGAGTTTTTTACTCTATGTTTTTCTCATGTTTATTATTTACTTATTTTCATTCCTTACATACTCGGTACATTATTTGTACTGACGTCTCTTTTGCCTGAGAATGCTGCATTTCATGCCCGCATGTCCTGATAGACAGGTCGAGAATCCTCCAAGTAGGCTATCATCTCAACGAAAGATGTTGATGTACTCCATTTCACTAGGGTTGCTTATTTGGTCAGTATGATTAGTACATATATTGGTTGGTACAGCGGGGTCAGTCCCGACCTTTATGATAAGTATGTACTCTTAGAGGCCTGTAGAGAGATGTCATGTGTACAGATATTTGTATAGCCTTGTTGGCCTATATTTAAAGTATATAACTGATCACACTGGCCTTATAGGCCCGTAAGTCACAAGTATAAGTTTCTATATATTAGGCTGGGTCGTTCCATGTTGGGTATTCCCTCATATTTACACTGGTTGTATCATGACGCGCCATCTAGCCTACCTATCTATGATGATGTAATAAGAAAGATACGTTACGTTCGTACTCGGTTGAGTAAGGTACCGGGTGCCCGTCACGGCTCATCGGTTTGGGTTGTGACAATGAAAAGACCTCCGGTATAACTTAACAGTGCTTACATATGTGTTGCTGGTACTTGATGCACCTTTTGCGCAAAAGCCTTAGTGTCTTGTTCCATTTCGGACCAATAGTACTCGAGCCCTCATCAATTTTTAAACCAACAAATTGTTGATACCCAATTTTTCTCTAGGTATTTTTGTACCCAAAATACTTTCAAAATAGCATGTATGTGCATATATAAGCACACCCAAGAGTTTTAGTATTTTTTTTAACGATTTCTAAACCGATTTACTATCTATTTTAATACCACAAAATCCAAAATTATCATTTTTGGTGAATAACTTATCTCATTCCCGTATTTACACCAAAATATAATTAAGGTGATTTTTCCATATTTTTTACAAATTTATTTGGCATTTTTAAGATAATTGCATGTAATTGCAATTATGGCCTATTTTATGATTAATAGCATTTTATAATTATAAAATTGGTTCCAATATTTTTAAATTTATGTTTATATATTATTTGTTTGCTCAGTATTTTTAATTTACTTTTAAATTTATTATTACTATTTTTATAAAATAAAAGGGTAAAATTGGCTATTTAACACTTAGCCCATTTCTATTTCAATAACAGCCTTTCTCCCTTTCAATTGTAGCCTCAATTGGCCCAATTTCCAGCCCCATTTCGATAGGAACTCGACCCGTACCCAATTCAATTACCCGGTCCAGCTCCGATCTAATCTGAGTCGTTGATCAAATGAGATCAACGGCCCAAATTTTATTTCCTAAAATTAAATCCCAACAACCCCCCCAGACCCCTCCTTTTCCAAGACGGTCTCTCTCTCTCTCTCTCTCTCTATACTGACTCTTGCTCTCCCTTCCCTCCAGAACCTTTTGGTTCTCTCCGATAAATCCACCGCCTCCCCGGCCATCTCCGGCCACCTCCCTTCAACCCCAAGGCTCCGATGGACCTTTCATCGTCCTGTTCAACACCTCTAGGACCTTCGAGGCTTATGGACCATGGCGATTTGAGACCTAGGGTTCCTGGTTCTTCTATATGCGATTTCTCCGGTGTGATTTCAGACGAAATCACACCCGATATGTCACGAACTATGAGGTTACGACAGGTTTTTCCCACTTCTATTAGGTTTTTTTTTAGAGAAACCCTAGCTCTCTCCTGAATCTCTCAAAAACGGTGTCATTTCATGCTATCCTCATGTTTTCCCCTGTGCTCTGTTTATTCTCGAGTTTATTCTGAAAGACCCTTTGCTTTGAACCATTTTTTACTTTCTTCGAAATTAGGATTTCTAGATTTATTTTTATGCATGCTTCGATTGATTTTCTTTATGATTAAAACCTTTTCGTTGTTTATTCTGATCTATTTCTATGTTTTTACTATTTTTAGTTTGACTCTGCTAAAAACCCTAGTTTCTATAAAATGTTTCTTCATTCGGTTATGTGTGTTAGCATATTTCTTTGCTTCGATTACCTGTGTTAGCCTAATTTCCTTTGTCTTGTCTCTATGTGTTAGCATGTTTCCTCGTTTGATTGTGTGTATTAGCCTGATCTCCCTTGCTTTGGTTCTGCCTACTGGCCTATTTGCTTGATTCTTGTTGATGTTTCATAGTCACCATGCTTCGAATATGTCTTGCTGAATCTTAACTTGTTTTCACTATCTCTGAGTGGTTATGTTTGTTCATCCCTTGCTCCTTCCTAGTTA